CTTCGTAGCAGCGTCCTGCACAACACAAAATTCGGAAGAGAATATTACTGTACAATTCAGTCCTTTTGTTAACTTACTAATTGATAGTAAATTAACTCTAAATTGAGGGACTTTAAGGACTTCATCAAGTTTAATGTTGGGTGTAATGTGTAAAGATGCAATCGACTCAACACGTGTCTGGCCACCATTTGGAAGTCCAATGGTGGTTGTTGTAGGCAAAATCTTTGAATCAAGTAACTCGCAAGGAGTTACATGATCTGTAGCCCCGCTATCAATGATCCAACACAAATGTGATTGTGTTATACGTGCAAAAGATCCAGATGAATGCATGATGTTACCTGCGGCATTGACGAAGTGTTGTTGGTTACCATCAGTATTGGATTTTCGTAGCATCGCCATCAATTGGTTGTATTCATCCGAAGTAAATTTTGGCACGTCATCCCCCGTGAGAGACTTTCCACTCGTTTCCGAAAATTTTGTCTGTCTCTAGGTTCACATTATTTGCGGTTGGACGCCGCTGATTGGGAAGCTTTATGTTCTTTCCATGGAATTTGTGGCCCACTGGAAAACCATGTAGGTAAAAACACTTCTCTATGCTATGATTATCTCGATCACAGTAAGAGCAATGCAGGGGCGTCCTTTGCCTTTGAGTCACCTTATTATCTCGATTTGTAAGAATTGCATGGTGGTTCAGATTCCCGCGATTAAGAGAAACTTCGGCCTGCTTTTCTTACTGAAGAACAAGAGAATAAACCCTCCGTGTATCAGGTAAGGGTTGCATCAATAAGATCTGCCCTCGAACAGCAGCATAATTGTCGTTCAATCCTCTGAGAAATTGCATGACTTTTTATTTTTCTTCTCTTTGCTTGAGTTTTTCCATTCCACCACATGTGCAGTACACTGACTCGTGATAAGACGAAAGTTCATCCCAAAGAGCTTTAAGTTTTGTGTAGTAGATAGAGATTGATTGTTGTATACTGTCCTGTCGGATTTGAAAGATCCTTGAATCGTTTCCCTGTGAGAAACGTTCTTGTAGATCTGCCCAAATTTCGGCAGTCGTTTCGGCATAAATCACACTGCTCGCTGTGCTTGGATGAATAAAATTCAATAACCAAGAGATTACCATGTCATTACATCGCTGCCAAGACGGGAAATCGTCATCTGTAGGAGAAGGGGGTTTGATCGAACCTGTGATGAATCCAATCTTGTTTTTGGCACTTAAACTGATTCACATGGCCCGACTCCATGTGCCATAGTTGTCTTCTTCGAGTACTCTAGACATGAGTATTATCCCTGGATGATCTGAATGGTGTAGAGAATATGAATCACTGGCTTCGATAATCACCTTAGTTGGTGTTGTTCCCACCACGTCATTTGTTTTGTCTTTCATGGTTTTGTGAATGAAGAATAGGTTGCGGAAGCGTTTATAGGGGTTTAGGTTTACCAGGTTCAGTGCTCTGATACCATGAAAGAATATTGAGAGATGTGGAAATCATGTGTATTCAACTGGTAATCTCGTACAAATGAGAATACATATCTATATAGTATATTGGCTATCATTATTCTAGGAAACTACTGACTAATGAATCAATTAAAATCAATTAAATATCAAAGGAATATATACTACTATTATTAATATATTTTCTTTCCCGTAAATAATAATACTACTAATACTAATACTAATACTAATACTAATACTAATACAATACTAATTCAAGTACTAATAGTAATGCCTATAAAAAAAATGTTGAAATAGTGCACATAAATATTCCATTAAATAAACTATTGAAATATTGGGAAAAACTAAAATATTCCATTAAATATAATGCATATAAAAATTGAAATAATTATTGAATTTTATAGGAGCCACTACATTTTTAATATACAACAAAGAATGAAAAAATAATTGCAATCTTAAGATCATACAATTTTGAAGTAGGAGTTCAACAAAAACAATTCCCCAAATATTACCAGTATAATAATTCATTACAATTAAAAACAATTCTTCAAATATTATCTGTATAATAATCCATTCCAATTAAAAAAAAACCTCAAATATTGTCAGTATAATAATTCATTACAATGAATCTAGAAGTGCAAATAACATAGTTCAATTAGGAGTATAATTTTACACATTTAATTATCAATGAATAATTATCAATGAATTAGAAGTATACTTGTACACATTTACCTGTTAGATCCAATACACTAGTATTGTTATAATACTAATTTTCAATGAATTTAGTAACATAATTCAATTAGGAGTATAATTCTACTTATTTAATTATTGCATTCGATAAATTAATATTACTTTACTATTAATTTGCAAGTATTGTATTAACATAGTCTAATTAGGAATATAATTCTAGACTTTTAATTATATAACTCAATACATATTAGTATAATTTCAATACTAATTTGCAATGAATTCGGTATTAGAAGAACATAGTCCAATTAGGAGTACAAACTTCATATTTAATTATATAATTCAAGACATTAGTAGTTATCTGAATACTAGTTTTCATAATAAAACATACATTTAAACAAACAAAATGCAAAACATATATTAAATATAAATAACCAATAAATAATAATAAAAAAAATAATACAATATATCTAACCATTTTAAATCGTTTTCTAGTTTAATTTGTGTTATATATTTGTGCTTACGTTTTTATAAGTACCCTCATATGTGTGGACAAGTTGAATATACGCAATATTTATTATGAATACATTTTTAAACGATTATATATAATTATTAAGTATTTATTAATTGTTTATCATTACGAAAGTTTTCAAAAGTATTTATTAAATAATTAGTAAACATTTATTAGTTTTTAAGTATATATTAAAAAAACAACACTTAGTAAATAATAATAATAATAATAATAATAATAATAATAATAATAATAATAATAATAATAATAATAATAGTTTTAAGTGTTCAAGAATTTAGAGTTTGATTCATTGTGCACTAGCATTAGCTAATAATACTTTACAAATGCGGGCGATTGTTCTATTTCATTTAATTTGTAATAGTGCCATTTTTTTATTTAATATTATTTCCATTATGAACATGAAGTTATAAAATGTACTAAAGGCATGGATCGATTAAATTTGGAGACTAAAAATCTCGGCTAAGTATATTAGATTCGAAGTTTACATGATCATAAATTTGAAGAGTTGAATTCTATTATAAGTATTGTCTACTCTTATTCGCTTCATCTTTTACAGACGTTTAATTATCCCCCCTAAGAAAATTCTGTATTATATTGTAGGTTCTATTTCCCGTACGTACATCTGAGATGGTGGCTCATCTAGTAGCGGTCTTTGGCTACTTGGGAGTTGTTATATCCGTATTCGTCTACTTAGCTCCCGTGTGAGTTTTGTTTTCTCTATTTTATGTTTTTTGTATGATTTTTTTCCCCTTTACATTCAAATCCTGTCACAAGTCGGAAAAGTAGGGGAATGAATTCAAACCCTAGACCTCTACTCTTATAGTAGAGGTTAGGTATCAATTCTTTTAATAAGAGTTGGTTATTAGAATGAATAGATAAGATCAATCATTATTTCAAATAATACTCTATAAACTTTGATAATCATTAATTATGTTTCAATAATATCAATCAGAACACACCAATAATCAATATGGCCGAAACCCATTCTGATTCTCATGTAAAAAACATACATTTTGTTAATCAAATTTTTGATATTTTTTATGTGTTTCGAATTGGTTGTACAAAATGCAACACTG